TTTGTGCAAAGAGCAGGGGTTGGGTTGGCAAGTTGGGTTTGAACTGTGATGGTGTCTCACAGCAGAGCCATCCAGGAGGCACCTGGTTGAACTGGGAGGACAGGAGAGAGGTCTACGCCACAGTCAGGGCTCCAGAGGTGTCAGTAGCATCTCCATGGCTCTGAAGACATGGGAGGGGGATGAGATGGCAGGAAGAAGAGCCAAATGGGAAAGATAAAAGGGGTGATAAACCAGAAATGTGTTCTGACTGAGGTCAACTAAATTCCTAACACTTTGGTAGGTGTGGGATGAGCCAGCAACCCCATCCCCATGTCCTAATAGAAGCTAGACATGCTGTCACCAAAGAAAATGACCAATCAGCTTAGGAATGATGAAACTTACCTTGTGACCCTTGCTTATCAATAGGATGGAAACAAGGACTAACCATGAGCCTATGATACTATGTAACCAATGAAAGACCTGAAGTACTGATTAAGTGGCTGTCCCCTCCCTTCCTTTGTCCTCCCTTTCTCTGTGATTATAAAAATACTAAACCTGGTTTGCAAGTTGGAACATGTGGTTCAAGAGCACTTGACCCTGGGCTGTAGTCACACATATTTGTTTCAAATATACTCTGATATTTTATTGGTGCCTCTGGATCTCTTTCCAGGTCAACAGGGGTTTATGTTAAAACTGTGACACTCACATCTCTCAGCCCAGTCCCCATTTCCAGGCAGGGCTTTGTGACCTGGCCAGTGAGGAGATTGGAGCTAGACCAGCTCATTCCCAGTAGGGGCAAGTAGGAGGTTGTTGGGGACAGAGGGCAGTTTTCTCTGAACAAGCAGCACCAATCTCCCATTGTACAACTGAATGTCGGGAAGACAACGAGGGTGGACTCCTGAGGCTGGGCCAACTCCAGGGGAGATCCCAGGTCGGCCTGTGTTTGCTCTGTCCACAGTGAATCGAGTCCATTGTGGACACTCACACCCCACAGAGAGCAGCAGCCCAGTGTTGGGAAAGGAGAGGGATGAGGGGAGAGGCTGGCAGGTGGGTTCCAGTGGCAGCTTCCTTACAGGAACATGGCTTTGAGTGGGTCATCCTCTCTTTCTGGGACTCAGTTTCTTCCTCTTCAAAATGGGGACAGTATGCCCTGCCCCTGCTTGCCAATGACAGAGAGAACAATTGTTCAATAACAGTAGGATGAACCGAAGGAAGTAGAATGATGTTCAACTACTTTTTTTTTTTTTTAAAGATGACCGTTAAGGGGATCTTAATCCTTGACTTGGTGTTGTCAGCACCACGCTCAACCAGTGAGCCAACCGGCCATCCCTATATAGGGATCCGAACCCGTGGCCTTGGTGTTATCAGCACCACACTCTCCCGAGTGAGCCACGGGCTGGCCCTTATTCAACTGCTTTTTGACCTGTCAAATCCAGTTTCATATGGTTGCACCTAATAATAGCACCATTCAGAAACAGCAATGGCTATGATTTCTTATGCATTGACCACCAACCAGATACCGCGTTACATGTGACGTGTTTTCATCACAAGCACAACATTGTGAGACACTTGTTAGAACCCTCGCTTTTCAGATGAGGGAATTGGTGTCTAAAGAGGTTATATAAGTTGCCCAAGATCACCAAATAGGACTTGAACTTAAGCAAATCTTCTTTTGGGGGGATTCCCTCAGCCTAGACACAGAGTTTCTAATTAGAACCGTTTGCTCCACCAATGGGCTCTTGGCAGCTGCTCATGTAGAAGGGGATCCCAAGTTCGTCGTCAGACAGAGCTCCGTGCTGGACTTGATGAAGAAGGATGTCAAGTGGCTTTCTCAGGAAATGAGGTGTTTCGAATGGGTGCACTTCCCTGGTTACCTAAAGCGCACCTGCTGTGGGACATTTCACCATGTCACCTCGCCTCTCTGGGGCATTTGTTTCCCCATCTATATAATGGGGGGAGGGGGTGTCTGATTTTCTTGAACCTAGGATAGATATGTTTTTGCATTTTGATGTCTTTAGAAGTTGGATGTAACCTGTGATTGCTGAAGTATACTCATATATGCAATGCAGGAGTCTCTCTTTCCTTCCACCCCAGCTTGTCATTAAATTTATGGTGATGCTATTATAATCCGCGGCCCCTTGGAAGCAAGTTTATTTCATTTAACAGGAACTTTACAAATACAAACTGATTTAATCCTTATAAAAACCCAATGAATTAGGTACTATTATTATCCCCATTTTGCAGGTGGAGACATTGAGGCACAGAGAAGTTAAGTAACTTGCCCAAGGTCACACAATTAGCAAGTGGTAAAGCTAGGACAGTGCTTCACCACCACTGCCTGAAGGCTTTTCTGTCTCTCTCTTTCCCACCAAACTTCTCTTGACATTGTGCCAGGGTCAGATGGAGGGACAAGCTAGGGAAGACTGCCCAGAACCTCAGTCAGTAGAGACCCTAAAGCATCCCTGAAATGTAAGGAGATGGTGGAAATTGTACAGTGTCAGGGTGGTTGCTGGGTGCACTTGGAGGAATTCCTTGGATAGTCTCTTGGGTGGAGAGTGAGATCCCCAAGGGGAAGCCTGAATGACAGCATGGACAGTGAGCAGGGGAGAGGCACTCCATGTATTCACAGGCCTCAGTTTTGCTTCAGAAGACATGACTCTCCTTATTCAACTGTCCCCCCCCCACAGCCACTCCTTGGATTTCCACAGACCATCAGTCTAAGTATCTAAACCTTATAAGTCAAAAGTATTTCAATAAAGCTGGTGTTTTTAAATTTAAGTTTTGAAAATTTAATTCATTAATTAAATGTTGTCCAAAAGTTTCATACAACTAAAAATTATTCACGAGGCTAGCATTCAACCTCTAGTTGGCAATGTGAAGAATCAGATTCATGCCAAATGTGTGTTCCATCTACCTACACACAAATTGAGGAGTGATATGAATGATCTGATATTGCAAAATGTTTCTCAGCTACCGTGTGCAATTGTTGCAAATACTGCCCATTTCTAACTCAGGAGGACCTCTCCAACCACATGTTGCAAGAAAATGGACTCTCAGTATTACTGAGAAATCAAGAACTAGTAATGCAAGAATTTATTGCATTTATACTAAGAAGGAAGAATTAGAAATTTAATTTCTTAGGGCCGGCCCGTGACTCACTCGGGAGAGTGTGGTGCTGATAACACCAAGGCCATGGGTCTGGATCCCTATATAGGGATGGCCGGTTCGCTCACTTGGGAGAGCGTGGTGCTGACAACACCAAGTTAAGGGTTAAGATCCCCTTACTGGTCACCTTTAAAAAAAAAAAAGAAAAGAAATTTAATTTGTTTGCCTTTTCTCTTACCTCTAAGTTCAGTCAAATCCTCTCTGAACTCTGAAGCAGCATCTGTCTCCTGTGTCACCAGTGGTTCTCTTATGCCCTTCTACAAGAAATTACCCTTTTTATCCTAGGCAACCACCAGTCTGATTTGTCTCACTATAGACAAGTTTGAGCTGCTCTAGAACTTCATATAAATGGGATCATAAACTATCTGCTACATTATGTCTGGCTTCTTTTGCTCGGCATGCTCTTGAGATTCATCCATTGTTATGTGTGTCAGCAGATCATCTCTTTTTATTGCTAAGTAATATTTCTTTTATGAAAATGCCGCAATTTGTTTTTCTATTTTCCTGTTGATGGACATTTGGTTTGTTTTTTGTTTTTTTAATTTTTGTCAGCTGGCTGGTATAGGGATCTGAACCCTTCACCTTGCTGTTATCAGCACCGTGCTCTCCCAAGTGAGCTAACCGGACAGCCCTCTTGTTTTGGGCTATTTTGAAAAATGCTGCTATGAACGTTTATGTATAAGACTGTACATGACATATGCTTTTGTTTATCTTGGATAGTACAGTAAGTTTAGAAAGCAATTTGGTCACTCTCTGACTCTTATCATCAGAGGAAAAAAAAAATCAATCCAAAATGCTACAGACATAAATAAAGGACATGATTAAGTAAGTTAGAATATAGCAAAAATATATATATAGATAGAGTGAGTGAAAAGTTATGCACCCATTAAAATTTTAACTGCAGACTGTACTGAATGTGAAAAATTATTCGAAATATATGCAATTTAAAAGAACATAAAATTGTAAGCACACCATAATAATACATTTCAAAGTTGACTCCATCACGTAGACATGTAAATAGGCCGTGGAATCGTGTATTTCACAATATTTACCAAGTGCCCCCTAGGTGCTGGGGTTTGTTCCAGGACTGGGGATGTATTGATAAGAAGACAGTAAAGTCCCTGCTGCAGTGGCAGGGGGTGGGGGACAACAGAAAGATCATTTCCTGTTTTAGGTGTTGGGAGACTGTTCAAGTAACTCATTTACTAGAAATAGCCATTCAGCTCAGATGCCCCTTTTTGGAAATGTCCCTGCCTCCAGGGCTGGGATGGGGCCCTACTGAACTTTTGCTGTTTCACAGGTGGATACGACACTCAGTTGGAATTGAATCCATGTTCATTTCCTCTCACCCCTGTCCCCTCAATCCCTGCCTGCACCGACCATCCTCTCCCCCCCACCTGCCACACACACGCCCTGCGCTAGCCTGGAAACTCTCTAAGGTGTCTTCATCATGTGATTTGTGGTTGGGCCCCACCCAAGTCTTGGTGCTCAGTGGGGTAGGAATTGGGTGAAAGCAGGAGAGATCGCCACGTGTGAAATCTATAGGCTCACACATCACATGTTAACTAATGTCACTTCAGCCCTCTCCCGCCTTGGCCTCAAATAAGCTACACTCTAAGGCCCTCATAACGTCTCCAGGTCATGTCTCCAAATGAGAGCTGGGCTTGGAGGCTGTACCTACAGAGGGCTTTGGGGGAAGGTTTTGTGCAAGGTATTTCCCAAGCACTGGCAGGATTGTGTCACAGCCGCAGCTGACCCTGGCCGGGCCCCACGTGTCCCATCCACAGCTTGGTATAAAGGTCACCCAGCGCTCCAGCTACCTGCTCTGCCTGGCTCCAGGTGCCTCTTAGCCCAGTATGACGCTACCCTGGGCCCTCGCAATCCTGAGCCTCCTGCCTCTGCTGGAGGCCCAGAAGCTGCCATGTGCCAACCTGACTGCAACACCTATCACCAATGCCACCTTAGAATGGGTGAGTGCCTGGGCTGCCCTGCCCCTGAGTATGTGGGCAGAGCCCTGCTCCTGAGTATGTGGGCAGCTGCGGACCTCTCTGGGCTTATCTTTCCCCTGTGGGCTGTGATTATCCCCATTCCCTGGCTCTGCCCTTTCATCTCCTGGGTCTTGGGTGAAGTTCTGAGCCGAAGGGACTCCAGAGGCATTCCTCTGCCTCCCATAACAGAAGCCCCACTGCGGAGTCCCTCTGAAGGGGACAGCTCTGTGCTGGGCATGGAAGAGCTGTCCAGGTGGTGGGGGAGGGGGGAGAAGTCTGCTCCTCAGGGCGATCTCCTGCATGTCCACTCCCACCTGGAGCCTCAGTGTCCCCATTTGCAAGATGAAGGGAGAGATCTGCTTGAGTCTCCTCCTGGCTTCTCCAAGCCCCCATCACCACTACCTGCCTGCTCCGCAGATCTCTGGCAAGTGGTTTTATATCGCCTCGGCCTTTCGAAATCCTGAGTACAAGCAGGAGGCTCAAGCGATCCAAGCGGACTTCTTTTACTTCACTGCCAACCTGACGGAGGACACTGTACTGCTCAGAGAATACCAGACCAAGTGAGAAATCATGCAGCCCACCCCGGCCCCAGCTTCTGGCTTCTGCTCCTAGATGCTGGAAGACCTGGAGCAAGTCCCTGCCTCTTCCTGGCCTTGGCCATCCCATCCCTGGCACGTGGGGATGGCTGACTCTGCTCTCCACCCAACTCCTGCCCCGGACTCTGATGGGCACCTGTCCACTTCTCTTCCACTGCTTACTCTTTTTCTCCCACCTACTGTCTACCTTTAGGGGGGACAAGTGTATCTATAACTCCAGCTACCTGAAGGTCCAGCGAGAAAATGGGTCCCTCTCCAAATATGGTAAGGACCCACCACAGATGGGAGGGTCAGCCGTGTGGTGTGGGGTGGGCCAGCCTAAGCACGAGGGCTGGGACTGGAGCTCTGCAGGCTTTGGGCACAGAGAACACGGGACAGGCTCACTTCTTATATTTCCATGGTCCTGGTACCTGCACAGACAATAATCATTGGAATAAGTGCCAACGATTTTTAGCTCTTACTGTGCTCGGTGGGGTAGGAATTGGGTGAAAGCAGGAGAGATCGCCGCGTGTGAAATCTATGGGCTCACACATCACATGTTAACTAATGTCACTTCAGCCTTCTCCCGCCTTGGCCTCGAATAAAACACAATCTAAGGCCCTCATAACGTCTGCAGGTCATGTCTCCAAATGAGAGCTGGGCTTGGAGGCTGTACCTACAGAGGGCTTTGGGGGAAGGTTTTGTGCAAGGTATTTCCCAAGCGCTGGCAGGATTGTGTCACAGCCCCAGCAGACCTTGGCTAGACCCCACGTGTCCCATCCACAGCTTGTTATAAAGGTCACGCAGTGCTCTCGCTACCAGCTCTGCCTGGCTCGCCAGCCTAAGCACGAGGGCTGGGACTGGAGCTCTGCAGGCTTTGGGCACAGAGAACACAGGACAGGCTCACTTCTTATATTTCCATGGTCCTGGTACCTGCACAGACAATAATCATTGGAATAAGTGCCAACGATTTTTAGCTCTTACTCTGTGTCAGGCATTATGAGTGCTTTACACCGACTAATCCACTTAACACAAACAACCCTAAGAGGACATTACAGTGCTCTGATGACACAGAGGAACAGAGATGTCAAGTAGTTTCCCTGAGGTCACACAGCTTATAATTAGAACTAGAATTGAAACCCAGGGCAGGATCCAAACCTACCTATCCCTCAACCACTCTTTAAGATCCTTTGAAAGCTAAAGGTAAAAGCTGGTGTGTTGGACAGATGGTAACTTTCCCATGTCCCCACCATCACTGCAGAGATGTCACATAACGGAGGCACATAAATGCCAATGGCATTGAGCTGACACCACTTAGAAGTACTGAGGCTCCTCTCTGGGCCTCGTTTCCATCATCTGTAAAATGGGGAGAAAGGCCCTGATGGCCACTGTCTGCGCGAGGCTCCTATGACTGCACATAGGTGTCATGCTCTGTGCAGCTCTGCACACGGCAGGGGCTGGGCACGCAGCAGCCCAAGTGTCCCTGGGGCGTCGCAGATGGGTTCCTCACCATGAAATGGATATGTTGTGACCTCCTGGGATCTCACCTAGAACTCTTTTCTCCTCCAGAGGTGGGTAGAGAACATGTTGGCTACTTGGTGCTCCTCCAGGACCCGAGGACCTTCATATTTACCGCCTACCCAGAAGACAAGCAGAACCAGGGACTGTCCTTCTACAGTAGGCGCTCCCAGTAGCCCCTGATTTCCTCCCCACTCAGGCCTTGCCCCGTGTTCTACCACCCCTGGGACTGGGCCCCCAGAACCCCAGCCCTCCCTGGCCTCCTGCCCATGCCCTGCAACGTACTTGCTCCCCTCTCAGCTGACAAGCCGGAGGCCACCCAGGAGCAGCTGGAAGTGTTCCATGAAGCTAT